TAATTTTATATCCACCATTCTTTCAAAATTTGATAGAATCATTTAGATTATGTGCAAATAAAGATGCTTGTCTCTTTTACTAGTTATACTAGTCATTTTCTCATATTATTTCTTTATAAAGACTCTTCAAAATATCATTTAATAATTAAGACAGCTGAGAAAATATGTGACTAAATACTAAGATTTTTTTTGTTTACTCTGTCATGCTCTTAAATTTTTGGATAAATAATCTTAACTATGTTGTGATACTTTTTTCTGTTTCTATTTTTAAAAACAGTTAAATTTAGGTAAGACTATTAATATATCCTTTTTAAAAGTCTTCATAGTATGGTACTACTGCTTTTTTCTTCTTTTATTTGATAGGGAGATGAATTATGTTGCTGGTTTTTTCAAACTGAACCACATTTGAATTTCTGGAATGAAAGTAACCTTGTTTTATTTTTCTTTTAGTACACTGTTAAATTTGATTTGCCTATAGAAAGTTAGGTCTATAAATTTTATACTGTAAGTATTGTTTTGCTGGTAGGGTTAGCTTGATGGAAAATTCTTTTGAAGCTATGTCCTAGAGAAATATTTGCATGCATGCAAAAGGGAAACATGTGTATAGATATTTACAAAAGAAAACAAGGAAAAAGTTTTTCTACCAATTTAGAGAATGACTGAAAATTTTGATATATTCACTTTTTGGAATACTATGCAGCCATTAAAACAGAATAAGGTGCATACATTCATGCTACACATAATGTTTCAGTCAATAACGGACCACATGCACAGCCATGGTCCCATAAGATTATAATGAAGGTGACAAACTCCTGTCGCCTAGTAATACTGTAGTATAGCACAATCTACTGTGCATTTGCTTGTGCTGGTGCTGATGCAAATAAATCTACTGCATTGGAAGACATGTAAAAGAGTGGCACATACAACTCTTTACAGTACATGGTACTTGGTAGGGATAATGAACAAGATGTTAGTGGCTTATTTACTATGCTCTACTTTTCATTGCTATTTGGGTTATTCTTTTCTACTGATAAAATGTTTATTATAAAAAGGATGCCATGCAATGCCAACAACAGCCTCACACATCTCTTATTTGCTCTCTGTTAATTACATCAAGAGGCCATATTGGGTGGTCTTCCAGGTTTTCACAAGTCTAATCCATATTTTTTGCACAATGATGAAATCCTCAAATGACATATTTTTCTGAATATATATCCCTGTTTTCAGGTGAACATATCTGTCTACTTTCATACACAGGTGTGCCCGAGGCAATATTTCAAATAAAATTATAGAAGTTACAGCATAATTAATAAGAATAATGTGAATTTTGTAAAAAATCAACTAAACAACAATCAGTATGTGGATGTGTATGATGGTGTGCACCTCAGTGAGTACAGAGATAGGTGAGGAGGGGAGACACTGAACAGCTCAGACTGTAATCTCTTGGATGGGATTAATTAGGTGTTCGAGAGAATTGTTAGTTTTTCTTTTTTTGTCTTTTTCTTGGTTTAATTTTTTACAATGAATATCTACTACTTCAAATAATTATAATAGTAAAAATAAAATTGATAGTTATTCATAAGGCAAATAGATCATATAAAATATTAACACGTTAGACCTCTTAGAAAGACGAGTACTCTAGACAAAGGCATGAATGTTTTAAATCCAAAACATACCCTAAAAGTGTTTCAGGCACCAAGAGAAGAAAGAGAGACAAACATCTATGAAGTTTTGGAGCTCCTTGAAGCCACAGCTTGAAAAAAATGTCACAATTTTTTTTTTTTAGTTTTTAAATTTCTTTTTATTTTATGAAAAAATAAAACAAAATTTCATAAAAATAGAGAATAACAATAGTCAGTACACTGGTTACCATCATCGTCAAAGTACAAGACATAAACCGAAATGATTCTTTAAAAAAAGAAACACATAGGGAATAACACACAAAACTTTCTTTTTTTTTTTAGACTCTTGAAAAACTGTTTTGCACCACAAAAACTTGTGTTTTTTTTTTTTTTTTCAAAATTGTCTGCTTTCATTTTTTTTCCCCTAGGCAGAAGGGTTACGGAGGGCACTATTGTCTCTTTTTTTTTTAAATTGTATTTTAAAGAGAAAAAAACCCCCAAATTTCAAAACAAGATAATAGGAGAGTAACGATGGTTAATATATTCCTTATTGTTATCTTTAAATTAGTTACTCAAAGTACAGTACATCGGCATTTAATTGTCCAAATAATACTAGCACAAACCTTTCTTTTCAGTAAACTAAAAGAAATTAGTAGTGTAACTATCTTAACGATCTTGTATATATATTTAATTTTACTTTTCCTTCTTTTCTCCTTTTTAACAGACACGGCCTTTATATTATTATAACACTAGGTAGCTGAGATTCTTAGGTGTCTGTTACACACAGACTCATGGCCAATTTGAATTAGTATTTAAAACAAGCAAATATCAGGGAACAAGAACTATGCAGACTGACTCTTGATGACTGACCTAATGGTAGAGATCTAAGGTCTAGAATATTGTTCTTGACTCTTGGGTCAAAGTACAAACTCTGGTGAATGAGCCCTCTTTTTTTGTTTTTTGCTTTCATCCAACATTGCTGTCCTCATAAAGCTGTGGTATTAAAGTGTTCTCTGAATCACTAGCAGAAGACCAAAAGAATTTTTACAAGAAGTTTAGAAAAAGGAAACTGTGACTCAAAAAAATTCTAACTTGCCCAAGTTCAGGTGAGTCAGTGGAGATGCTGAGCAGGGCCTGGGCCAATCATTTGAAGCGAATTCCTTCTTTGCTTTTCCAACATTGTAAGTACTAAGATGAGCCCTTGTGAGGTTGTGTCCCTCCACTTGCAGCCACAACACACCATAAATAATGCTATTTTAAAATAACAATGAACAGATGGGATAAATCTGTTTTTGTTTGAGTTTTAAAATACTTAAAGATTGTCTTGTTTTCATAGTTTTGGTTTTCAGTTTGGTTTCAATAGCCAATGTATAAACTGACTAGATTGTCAGAGATTTAAATCTCACAGATATCCTGTGCTTGTTTTTTCCTGCATTTACATCTTATGGGAGACAGCGCCAGAGGTAACATAAATGTAATATAAATAGCAATGTGGTTGCTTATCTGAAATCTATAAACATACATGGTTAATCCATTTAGATTCTGTACATGAGTTTAATATGAACAAAAATATATTTTTCTCAGCAAGATTTTGATATATACTTAATGATCCTTCTTATTTCATGTAGTAACCATTGATTTTTCTAATAAAAGATCACTATGGGGAAATGCTTAACATCAAGAAATAGATACATTGACAAAGTGCATTTAAAAATAATATTGGTAATAAAGATCTTCATGTTTGTATAGTCAGGTTGACCACAGGTGATTGAAAATTAAAATATGGCTAACATTTGTGTATATATATTTAAAGAGAATAGAAAAAAATAAAAATGATACAGAATTTCAAAACAAGGTGTAGGAAATTAACAATGGTTATTATCCTGCATATTGTTATCTTCAAAGTAGTTGTTTATATTACCAGATACAGGCATGCAAAATTGATCAAACAGCATAAGCACTAACTGTTCCTCTCAGTGAACTAATAGAAATTAGTAGTACAATTATCTTAGCTATCTTGTGTATATATGTATTTTCTCCCTTTCTTTCTTTTCTCCTTTCCCTCATCCAAGTTCTTTCCTTTTGAGCAGTTTCTTTCCCATTCACAATATGTATTATTTTGGTTTTAGCTTTATGTAAAAAAATGCTTGGGGAGCTTTAGAGAAATGGCTTTAGGTTCAGTGTTAGAGACCCATTTGAAAGTGGCTCTGTTTGGAAACCTTCACTGAGGGCTGGAGCCTGAGTGTTGCCAAATTGCATCCTAACTGGTCTGCATGGCCTAAGAATGACTTTCACTTTTTAAAATGGTTGATAAATATAAAAGAAGAATACTTTATGACACATGCAAATTATATGAAATTCTAATTCATAAGTCACACAAACACATTCATTTCTTTCTTCATATTGTTTATGGCTGCTTTTTTGCTATAATGGCAAAGTTACAAGTAAACACAGAAACTAAATGTCCCTCAGAAGCTAAAATATTTACTATTTGGCCCCCCAAGGAAAAAAGTTCTTGTGGCATGTGTACGATATTCAATAGTGTATTTATTCATCCTTTTGTCCATATACTGAGCAGAACTTTCCTTGAGCATTGACTCTGGACCAGCGTTAAGAATGGAGAGGTGTGTCAGACAAGCCCGGTGGCCTAGATGTCATTACGTGAAATGGCTGTATGTCATGAAGACAGTCATATGAAAGATTTTGCAAACAAATGACTGGGCAGAGAACAACAGTCATTTTAGGGAGTATAAATTCTTTCCTAAGACTTGTATCATGAGGTTTGGTGAAATGCACGCAGACTGTGAGTTCTTCTCTCTACCCTCTCCATCAACATCCTGAATTTCCCCCTCTCTGCACATGGTTACATGTGTTCTCTGCCTTCTTGAGATGAATACTGTGGAGATTAGCAGCTCCTGTCACTGACAAGCATCTGGCTCGTGGCTTTATCTGAAATGATATCACTTTAATCCTCATTTTCTGCAGGATACACATTGTCTCTCTCACTTTTATAAATGAAAACAACTGCATTTTATAAAGGTCAAGAAACTACTAGCAGGCAGCAGAGGCAGACCTCACACACAAGGACTGCTTGTTTCCTAAGTGAACCCTTTCTATGTCAATTTACTGTTTTCCTCTTTTAAAAGTCAAATTCCTTCTCACAATGCTGCCTTTTGGTTATTTTAAAAATGTCAGTGTTAGGTAAGTCTCTTGGGCTATGGTTATGTGACAGCAAATAAATACTTATCATGAAATATGCTGTTCCCGTCTTTGTGGGTGGCACTGTCTTTATACAAGAATGAATTCAGGCTTGCATCTCATTTTTATTCCTAAATTTGTTTCTAAACCATTTTGTACAGAAGAATGAGGAATCAGTGGCTCAGTCTAGGCTGTATCGCAGGGAGTGCAGTGTCATAGTAAGACTCCTGATTTGGCAGCAGAAGGAGCATAGGTCTCATTGTGTCTACCACTTTCTCAATATGGAACCTTGATGACATCCACTCTCTGAGTGCTGGTTTTCTCACCTGTAAATTCACTCATGCTGGAGTTTCAGGTATCTGTTTATTCTCCATACTTATATGGGCATCTTTAGAATTAGATTCCATTCAGTCCTACTGTCAGTGACCTCTGGCTGTTAGGATGATAGAGTCTCAGAGATGGGAGGAACGGTTGAAGTGTAATGGTCAAACTGGCTTCATTTTTTCTGAGGCTTAATTTCTATAAGTATAAATGGAGGGAAATAGAATCAGTACTGTTTTATAGTAATCATGATATGGAATACTAACTGTGTGCCAGGAGTGACTTTAAGCATTTTATTTACATGAGCTGACAGATTTAGTCCTCAAAACAACCTATGAAGTCATTATTAATATGAACCACATTTTGCAGAAAGGAAAATTCAGATGTAGTGAGGTTTAGGGAGTGGAGAAACCTGGTTTTGAATGTTGAAAGCCTCGTTCTGGAGCCCAATCCTTAATAATTATGCCATAGTTCCTGCAGAACTGTGTTACAGTTTGTTAAGAAAAATATATAATGCAAAGTAGGTTTTCAGGAAATGCTGGTTGCCTTTGTATGAAGAATTTTTTTTTTTGATACCAGGAATTGAACTCACGATTTCACACTTGCCAGGCAGGTGCTGTGACGCTGAACTATATCCTGGCTGTTTTCTTAAACATTTTTAAATTGACAGACAACATTGTATGCATTTATCGTATATATGATGTTTTGAGATATATGTGCAGTGTCTCAGAGAGAGAGAGAGAGAGAGAGAGAGAGAGAGAGGCAGATGGAGTTAACTCTAGCTAATTAATAAATATAACCCTCAAAAAATGTTTTAAAGAAATGTGATTCATATTCACACCTATTGAAATTACTTAGGGTGGGGGCTAGGGGGATGAATTTATCAGAAATGCTTGGATTTCCCCTTGGACTTACTGGATTCTGGAATTTTACATTTTTTGCAAGCTTCCCGGCTGAATTTTATTACACTATAGCTTGGGAGACTCTACTGTAGAATCACTTAATGTGGTTTTCTAACAGTGCAGAAACCTTTTCATGGCACTGCAAAAAAGTTATTCCCAGGCTTCATAAAACTTTCTGGTGGTGGTAAACTTCCTTTCTCACAAGGAAGTCATCCTATTTTTTTAAAGTTTAGATTATTAGAAACATCTTCTTTGTAACTGAGTGAAAGAAGGATCTTCACTTTCCTTTATCTCCATGTGACCTATTCAACCTTATGAGTCACACAGGTATCAGCATCAGGAGGCAGCAGGAAAGCCCCTGACAGAGCATATGAGCTTGGAGATTAGACACATTCATAAGCCTGGCAGATGGAACAGAGTCTCTAGGGTCAACAGTGACCTAAGAGTCGGTCCTTGCGGTGATAGCTACCCTAGTCTGGTGAAAGGAGCTTACAAAGGAACCAAACAAAGAAGTCCAGGTAGGGGAGAAGACTCATGATGACATCACAAGGGAGAGAAGCAAAGCATGGAGAACAAACTCAGGTGCTATGATGGGGATTGGGGTATTGGTCATAGGGATAGCAGTTCTTAAAATCAGTGTGACGTCACCACCAGTTGACACCAGTAAAACTGAGTAGCTAAATCATGGTTCCTTAAGTTTTCCCTTAGTAGGAAGGGAACTCATGTCTCCATATAGCAAACATTAATATTGAATGAGCAAATAAAAATGATGGCCAGGTAGTTTTAGGCATGGAGATTGCCAACCAGGGAATGGGGCACATTTTCTCTATCTAGTCATCAAAATATTCAAGGGAAAGTTTTCCAGCCTAAATATTCTGAGTTTTTTCAGCTGTCCAGCATAGGAGCATCATATTTGGTTTCCGGAGGCTTTTCCTGTTGGTAAGTAACTTGTTCAGATGCTCATTTGTCAATATCCCCTTAAAAGGTGGTACCCAGTGCATGGTGCTAGTATGGCATAGCAGTGCTGAGTGCATTCTCAGACCCTCTACTCTTGTTTTATGCACTAGCTCACCACTTTCTAACTAGGCGGAATGCCTATCATCAATAAGTCACTACAGCTAAGGCAGTCTGAGATTACATTAGCTTTTCTAGCAGCCAAATTATGCAGTTGGCTCATATTAAAATTTCTGTCAGAGAAATCCACAAAGCTTTATTATGCAAAGTGCTATTAAGCCAAGACAAAATTGGCTTGTATTTGTGCAACTGAGTGTTTGATCCTGAGTACAGGATTTTACATTTATCTCTGCTGTAATGCATCTTATTAGTTTAGGCCCTATAGTCAAATATGTAGAATTTAAACATTTAAAAATTCTACTTCTGTCATCTAAGACATATAGCTAACCTGTCTATCCTATGCTATCTAAAATATTACTAAGCCATCTCATTTAAGTCACTAATAAAGTATGGTAATAGTAATAGGCTTGTTTCATTTTGCTAGAATCTCCCAAGTTGGCTTTGCTACATATGACAATAGGGAATGGTGGTGTGAAAATGCCATGTTATGTCCTGTGGCTAAAAGTTCATATTTTTATAGCCCAGTTCCTGCTCTTCAGAAATTCATATTGTAATGAGGAAGGCTAACAAATTACTGTACCTATGCTCCACTATGGGATGAAGGCTGTGATAGAGGAATGCACGAAGGGAGGGAGTAGCATCAGGACTTTGGAAGAATAATCACAGAGTGATGAAAATCCATTTGGAGTCAAACAAATCTGCATAGTTCAGAAATACTTCTTTCACGCTATTTCAATCTTATGAGACTTTTTACTTTCACCACTCTTACGTGATACTAAAAACTAGTACCAGTGTGTTTCTATTAATCCTTAAGGCAAAGCCCATGTTATAGCCTGGTAAACAAGACTTTATGTTGTCTGGATTCTCTTACCAGCTAGGACAGAACCATTGCTTATTGCCCTTTTATGAAGAATATTTTCCCCTGTTTTTCTTTTCCTGTGATTTTTTTTTTAATCCTTCCATGTTTGCAGTCCATAATGGTTACATTCCTTATGTGGAGTTGGTACATGTACACAGCACAGCCTATTTCCTTTTTCACCCCCTTTTCCTCCCTCCCACCTTCTCTAGATCTCTTGCTATTGGACCTTTTTCGCTTCACATAATTCATGTGTACTTCCACACCCCCAGTCCTGCCTCCCACTGCACCCTTGACTAAGGGTACTGCACTCCGTCACAGATGGCAACAATTATCTCTGTTTCCATTTCAAATTACAGTTGTGTGTGCGTGTGTGTTTAAACAATGCTATTGGCTCTAGGGTCCCACCCTACTGTCTTGTTTAGCCTAAGTTGGGTTACAATGCCAGAGCTAGTTTAAAGTAGTTCTAATCAGGTCTCTCATGCAAACCAAAATAGTCGCAGGAATGGCTAGCCTGTCGCTCCCCTCCACCCAACATCAGCCAGGCCAGACATCTTGCTTCAGGATTCCATGGAAAATGTCAGACATATTTTATTTTAGTTTATTTAATTTTATTGGTATAATTTAGATATACAAAATGGTCATATTCATTATAGGGAGTTTCTATCTGTACATGATATATCTTGATTACTTTTTCTTCACCCATAAGTCACTTCTAAATTAGTGTAGAAGTAAATTTTTTAACTATTCAGTAAAGCTAGAGATATCTGGAGAACTACACAAATGGATGTAGGGTTAACTCACTCTATACAACTAGTCATTGCATGTGTTTCAAAAAGAAAATGGGCTCTTTCTGAGGATGGAGGACTGGATCTGGGGATGTCAAACCCAACTAAGTGAAATGTAATCTTACAGCAGTTTGTTTAAAAGAAATGATCGTATCTTTCCCTTTTTCCTGTAAGTATCTCCTTAGCTTTCTATTGATGTTGATCTGGTGGGGCAGAATATACTCTACTTCCAAGGTTTGATAAAGCTGGGATTCCACCCCTCTCTTGGTAACTATGTGAACCAGGTGTGTCACAACCTACCTACGCCTCTGTTTGCAGGACTATAGAATGGTGACCATCAGCAGTTTTTTCCTCATTAGGCTGTTGGCGGGATAAACTTGGAGTTACAGTGCTTAGGTTAGCACACTGTATAAAGAAACTGCTCTTTACATGTGAGCTGTTTTTGTTGTGGTGTTGAGAAAGTGCTCTGAAGATTTGCCTGTTGCTGGTGCCAAAAATAAAGGTGAAAGCACTAACTTCCCATACACTGCGTAAGTATAGCTTCTGAATGTCTCTAACAATGTCTTAGGAGTGTTGCTATCTAAGTTATGGACATTTTGGGAGAAGTGAGCTTTGTGAGGACTGGTGATGGTAGTGCCATGCTGTGCAGTACAGAATATTCGGCAGCTTTCTTGGTCCTACCCTCTGGGTGTCAGTAGCACCTCTTCTCCAAGTTGTGACAACTGAAAATGTTGTCACAAGTGTAATGTCCCTTGGGTGCAAATAGCCACTATTCTAGGCCGCAGTGGGATCATAAATCACCTTCTTCAGTTCTAGCATCAAATAGCTCTCGTTGTCTTTTCCTGAGGACTGTGAAATTGAGTTTAAGGAAATCTCTTTTGCTGTGGTGGGTCAGATCTCTATCACATTTAAGTAGATGTGTTCCTTAGAGTGAGAATAATGTTTTTACATTGTTGACAGGGTACTCATATAAAACAAATGCAATATACTCCAGTGATCTTTCTGGTGTAATTATTTTATATCCAAGAACTATTAATGCCCTGGAGTGGGGAATAATAGAGCATTGCATGTTACTTTGTTCCTTTGGTCCAGTACCGAATTCTGCAGGAGGAAAGAAGGAATTTTCATTAACAATAAATGCCATTTTCAATAAATACTCTTAGGGCTCATTAAAGGCAAAACCCTGAACTGGGGAAAACAAGTGGTAGAAAAATGATATTTCACATAAAATAAATGTGCTAATTGGCAAGAGTGGTTCAAGAGGATTTTTCTGCTCTCCAGACCCTTTGAACTTTTCTATTTTTCCTTGGCAGCGGAGTATAAAAATGGACGCTTTGAGCCTTTTGATGACATTTTGTTGGAGCATAAGACATATTGGTTTTAGATTTGTGATCTGCAAGAATTCCATCTGCAC